CTTGACCTCATTTTATATTTATGTCCTCCAACTTAGGGTGTGCACAAGTATACACTTGAACTTGTGTAAAGTTGAACAAATAGACACATGCGTCCTACATGACAATTTTAGTCCTATGTGTATTACATCACGTAGGACTCATGTGTCTATTTGTTCTAGTTTATAAAAGTTTAAGGACCCGTTTGGTAGGCGGTATTAGATAAAATAATCCATGGATTAAAATTTAGTCCATCTAATACATTGTTTGATTACTTTATTTAATTTAATCCATGAATTTCGTATCCCCCATATGTGGTCTTATCTTATCCCTAGAAAATGGAGGGATAACTAATCCAAGGTTTAACAAACCTCGGATAAGATCCCTAAATGACTAAACTATCCCCTTATTCCTTTTCCTAAATTTCTTTTGTAATTTAATTTCCTTTTTATTTAAATTGAAATGGTTATAAATGTTCTTTTTTAATCCTCCAAATTCGTATTGTGTAATTTAATGATTTCACTAAAAAAAAAATCTCCATTTTTCTTGACTTTTTTTATTCAAGATAGTTTAATGATTAACCACTTGAACTATTTTTTTTTTAATTTTTTTTTCAAAACAAGCTTTAGGTATTGAACAATTTAAGTAGTCTTAAATCTATGTTAAGTTTAAGATATACTTGACCAACAAAAAATTAGAAATACACCGTGCCATTAATGATCTCCTTAAAAGTGGTACATCACACCTTAAAATTAATAATAATTTATATATATATTTGACTTAACTTGGTAAATGGAATAGAAAATCCTACAAAAAAATAATATTGTCCGGCGGTTATCTACTTTGACCCAATTACATGAAATTAACAATCTCATAATAACATAAGGGTATAATAGGAAAGCAATTTTTTGTAAAGTTTTAAATCAAACACAAGATTAAGTGGAAAGTAATGAACCAAACACTTGACAAAAAATAATTCCGGCACTACTAATCCCTGCATTACTAATCCATGCGTTACTAATCTCTGCATTACTAATCTCTGCATTGTCAATGTTTGTACCAAACGACCCCTAAGTGTTTACTTGTGCAAACTCAAAGTTAGAGGGCATAAATGTAAATTGAGATCAAATTAAAGGGCATGTTTATGAGTTATTTTTTTTGGCATAACTCATAAATAGGACATTTAACTTGGCTTGAAATTTTAACTTTGACTTAAACTTTCAAAGTGCACAAAGAGGCATTTTAACTATCCAAGTCTTAAATAAAAAAACACACGAATCTCACTTGGCAAAACACGTAATATACACTCAATCTGCACGCGTCAGGAGTAAATTTCGAGGCCTACAATGTAACATCCGACAATTTGAAATAGCTAAGAAGAGGCTTGAAATTTGAAAATTTTCATTTTTTGGGAAGGATTTGAAAATCTGGAATTTTTTTGGCCAAGTATGGAAAAGGTGAGTTTTTGCATTTTTTCCTCTTCTTTCAAATCAAGCTTTATTTTCTCTCTTTAGCATGAATCTTACTCGTTTTTAGTGCAAATGACTTCTAATTTTTTTTATCATTGTGGGAAAAGAGTTATAATTGAAGACGGAGTAGTTCCAGTTATGGTTGTGAAGCTTGTGGAATGCTCTTTCCAGTGTCGTTGGTCTGCAAACAATCCAAATTTAAACAAAGATTCTACCTTCTATCAAAAATCAACTTTCAAAAGGGTAAAATTATACATAGTTGGACTAAATTGAGGAAGATGAACAAATGGGATTATATTGTTGTATAGGGCTGATACTTGGATCATTTTGTCCCATTTTAAGAGAGTAAAAATCTAGGGCTTGAGAAGAAGAAGAGAAGAAGGAGAAGAAGAAGAGGAGAAAGAGGAGATCAACAAGTTTCCGTCAAAGATCAACGTGGACTTTCGTCGGGGGTGATCCCTATTAAGGTATGTGAGCTTTTAGTGTTGGGTG